CTTTTCAGATTTAATCACATAGAACCTATTTTTTACAAATTTTCTGGGGGCATGCCAGACCCCCCGTAGCATGTTTTGCATGCTGAATGTGCTTAGCACAATATGTGTTGGCTTTTAATCTCACAAATTAGAAAATATTTTTCAACATTTTGCGTACGGGCCTGACAATGTAACTGCCTGACGAAAAGCATTTGCTAAAAACGTCGTAATAAATTTTGTTATTTTAGCCGTGTTTTAACACTAATTTCTCAACTTGAAAGCTGTATTTAATATAGCAGAAGTTAATGATATTGCCAACGTACTTTCTTAAAATTATGAAATTAAGTAATCACAATCCCCCCTCAAAAAAAAAGAAAGAAAAAAAGGACAGCTTCATATTTTTAACCATAAACATCCTAAACCGACTCTTAAATTAAACAATGCCTACGTCATACATCATTGAGTTACATGGAATATTAAGTTACTAACACTGACGTAAGTAACGAAGTCGTAGTGTATTCGTCACACGACAAAACTACGGAACTTGGACATAGTACAACTAAGTTCTTTTCATGATTACTATAAGTTAGCATTATTAATATATTAACATTTAATACCAGTCTACTACGAGAATGATTAAATGATTATTATCTGATGATTTGGGTAACCGTATTAGCTTTAGGGAAATTATGATGTGTGTGGGAGGCATATTAAATACTAGCACTAAAATAGTTTGCTTTAATCAAAGTTTAAACTTGAATTTAAGATAAACAAACTAAGCCCTACATTTTAACCACAAAATAAGTATATAATGTATATATATATATATATATATATTTCACTTACGAACAAATAAACAAACTAAGCCCTACATTTTAACCACAAAATAAGTATATAATGTATATATATATATATATATTTCACTTACGAACAAATAAACAAACTAAACCCTACATTTTAACCACAAAATAAGTATATAATGTATATATATGTATATGTATATTTCACTTACGCCTAAGAGATTTCTAGGAATGTAACCTTCTCTATCGTTATGGCGAGACCACCACCATTCCCTCTCCTGTTCATCCCCTTTTCTCAGCACGATGATCATGTCGCCATCTTTGAACGATAATTCATCCTGATTTTGTGCATCGTAATCATATACAGCGTATACAGCACCACTATTTAAGATACCAAGTTTTTTCTGAACACCTTCAAAAAAGATAAAACGATTTTCATTTGTAACGTTGCATATCTTGTTTTCAATTTAAATATTTGCAATTCATTTTTTTATTGCAAATGTATTGTACGTGTGTGTGAAATGTAATCTTTAGAAGTAGATACGTAAAAAAAAGTATAGCCTTCCAAGTGGCTAAGCGGTAAAAATTGGGTTTCGATGCTCGTCGTGGGCACAGCACAGATAGCCCATTGTGTAGCTTTGTGCTTAACCACAAACAAACAAGAGTGTATTTAATTAGTGATACTATGGCCAGGCTAATTTTTAGTTTAGCTCTAAATACTTAGCTTACTTTGATTCGAAGTTGTTATTATTACCATGTATCTCCATTTGTTTGTCAGCCTTTTAATTAGTTTTATTAAACTATGTCGAAAGTTGTTAGTGTTTATATTTACGTTGGACGATAAAAAACAACAACAACAACATAAATTGAACATTAACTTCAAGTGTTTCAGGATCGATAAAGTCGCCGTTTTTAAAGTGTAACCAGGGTGGTGGTCGAACGGCCTTCTCAATATTCTAAAAAAGTCTAAAAGGTCCACTGTTTTCTGATTTTTTCAAATAAACACTTGGCTTTAATGTAAATCACATATTTTTTGTGTAGAAGAAATGGTCCACATGTTTGTTTGGAAAAAAAAATTGTCCACTCTGTAGTGCTGGTTACGCTCCTGATTGTGCCTTTCTAATAAATATGTAAAGTAGATAGCAAATTTGTTTTACATGGTAGATAAAATGTGTAATAGACGTTGAACTGTACAAATAACATTACTATCAGTTAATATACCAATCCCATTTATATCAAATTTAATCCCATTATATAAAAATGATGTTTCTGATCTCGTGCTGTTCTTAGAACTATTTTTTCCACCACCGACTGTGCTCAGTTTGGTGGTCATGATTTCGCTCCTGCTCGATACCGAAATGAGTATCGTAACAAGCTTTTGATAAACTTTCCACAGATCCTTCACTGTACGCGAACATTAGTTCCCAAGACTACGTTTAACTAGACCAAAGGTACAAAAGTCCTTTGGAGTTACATCAGGAGCCTTGGCAGATAATAGATGAAATGTAACTTTTGTGATTCTAGATTCTTTGGTCATATTACACACCAAAACAACTCCTAATTTCTAAATGTGACTGGAAGCTTGTGAACCTTTGGTTTGCAAGCCTCATTTATTGCATTGTTAAAGGTAACAAGAGATAAGCCCAGCTTCATTGAAGCGGCTTTTTGATTAGAAAGGTTCTCTTTCGTTACCATAATCTCCATTTTGTGGATAAGGGCGTTGTTCTATATTGGCTTGGGGTGTGGTTTCCAACTTCGTTGCTCTCCTAAACGTTCTGACGTGCGATTTGTTTTTGCTTTGATTAAGAACACAGCAGGTTTTCTTCTTCGTAATTTATGTCCTCTCGTGTTGCATCGTTTAACAATCTCATTACACAAATATCGTTTATTGGACAAAATCCCCAAGACATAAATTTATTAGTGGCGACATTGCATATGAAATGTTTGAGAATTCACAGTGACCAAAATAAACAAGTGCTAAATGAGTCGTGATTTTCTATTATGCTTACCCGTAAGAAGGACTGAAAAGGTATCTACGGTTTGTATAGTACAAATTAATTAATCTACAATGTCAACTTACTATAGAGAAATTCGGAACATCCATCATAGCCCTCTTCGTCCTCCTCACATTTTTCTGCAGCGGTGTCGTTGTCACTGAGCGTGGTGGCAAATACACAAGCACCATGCTCCACTAGGAACCTCACTATTTGTTGGTTGTTACAGGAGGCTGCACAGTGAAGTGGTGTCCTGTGGAGATATACAGATATGCACTCACTGTTAAAATATTCTGTCAATACTTTTTTTTATTGAATAATAAATTTACACAAAATTTCTTATTAATCTATTTAAACACCTGTAATGAGTTTAAATTTAAATTAAAGAGGCCAACATTCGCGGGCGAATGCAACAGGACTCCACTATGCAATCCCAACATGGCCAATTCTGACACCAGAAAAAATCAAAAAGTATATATGTCATTGATTGGGGCATACAAGAAGGTATATTTGTACCAAATCCCATGTAAATTGGCCGAAATACGGCGGAGTAATTATCAAAAAACTTAAAATTATGCTTTTCATGGTATCTTGACCCCCTATAGTTACAAAAAATGGACAGATCTATCATTTTTTATTTGCCAATGTGTGTGGGACCTCTAGAAAAGTATCTCTGTACCAAATCCCATGTAAATTGGTCCAAATGTGGCCGAGTGATTGACCAAAACCCGCAAAATTATGCTTTTTTGGTGAGCTCTGATCCCCCTACAAAGACCAAATGAGTAAATCCAACTTTTTTATGTCAATGTGTTGGGCGCATGAAAAATTTTACTTGTGTCAATTTTCATCTTGATTCCAATAGATATAACCGAACAGGAGTCCAAAATATAAATTTTGGGGTTGTTTGTCCTTTGACCCCATAAAATTCTCAAAAACGCCTAAATAGAAAATACTAAAAAGTTGTCTGCGAGTATTGAAACAAGGTATAATTCTACCAGATTTCAGGTCAATCCGCCGAGAAATGTAGGAATGGCGGTCGACTGAAGTGTTTGGAAGAAGAAGAAACAATGGAAAAACAATATTTCTACCTGGGGAGAGATAATGAAATGTTCAAGGGTCAGGAAAGTATGCTAGGTTTTAATACAATAATTTACAGGATGTGCATACAGGTATAACAGAAGTAGGTGTGTCAATATGGAAAAATCGGGTAGTATCACTCACCAACCATCACTGTCTTGAGCGTTGACGTCACAACCAAACTCCACGAGATATTTCACAATTTCAAAGTATCCAGCACAAACAGCGTTGTGAAGAGCAGTGATTCCTTCGTCATTAGAAGCACTAGTGTTAGGCACCTGATTCAAGAGCACGTTAAAAATAAAAGACTGTGAAAGAAGTGATACAAGGAACTACATCTTCCTAGAAATAGAATTAAACGAAACGTTTAATAAAGTATAAGAATTTGTCTAGCGAAACTAACAATATACTCTAATCTTTGAGGTTTGCCAGGTGATTTGAGAAGAACTTGGTATTTATTTTAAGTATAACCTACGTTTTCTCACCTCTTTCGCAGTTCTTTTCACGAGTTCTAACTCTCCTTCGAGTGCAGCGTCCAGCAACAAGGCTAGAGGATCAAAACTAACCTTCCGACACTTCTTGTCTGAATTCTTTGTCTTCAAGTTTCCTCTTTTTACTCTCCGCAAGGTTGCGCTGTTATAGATGTGTGGATATTCGTGTCTGTTGTATCTGTCCAGAAAAGCAACAGTGCTGGCTTCTGGTGGTTGGTTATAAAAGACATAGATTTTATTTATTCTAGACTCAAAAGTTTAGAACACAAGCTAACTACTCAAATAATGTACTAGTCATATATATATATGTTATAGTGACATTTAGTAAAATGTTACATATGTTTACTTCTCGTGTAAACAGGTAAATGTTTCTAATTAATTGCATTGTTTTTTCGTGTTAAACTTATTTATTGGGAAACACATAGAGTGTTCAAAAGTTGAATTTTTTTGTTTAGTCAAATATAATAAGCAAGAAAAGTCTCATATAATAATTCAAATTTTGAAAAACAGAATATTAATAACTTCGTTATATACAAAACGTATCATGTACTTACGGCAGTGTTTATCATTTATTTAACACACATATATATATACACATAACACGGAGTAGCAGCTGTGTCTTTGTCGTTCAGGATTAACTCTAAATTCGAAGTATTCAGTAAATACTCATTGAAGAACAGAATACTGTAAGACAATGTATTTGAACAAAGCATGATATCTAATTACGGTTCAACCAATGTTTGTATTTATGGCAAAGCTACTAAAGCTGTCTGTCGCCTACCCTAATTTTGAACTACAGATCAGAGGAAAGTTAGCCAGTCAGTAGCATTCTAATATCCCCTGTTCACGGTAAGAGGCTGACTTTTATTCTTATAACGCATCCATAGTTTAATCAAAGTGATGGGAATATTTTGTGATATCGCAAGGATTCGAACACAGCTCACCAGTTTCAATATGCAGAGTTCTACCACAAAGTCAATCCGCGATCGGTTCAGCCAAAAACGCAGAAAAAACAAAATCAAAATAGAAATATATATACCTACCATTAACGTTCACTAAACCGTTATCTGTGTTGACCGACTCTCCGGCTCCATCTGGTCGTACACTATTTTCCGAGTCTAAAGTGGTGTTTCCATTGAAATGGTCCAACTGATAATTTAAGTTCATTGGAATCTTTGTGTTTTCATGATTCCAAGTTAGTTGTTTAACAGCCATGTCTCGAACTTCCACTGCACCTTTGTCCGTGACGCCATTTCTAGACTGATCCTTAGATCGGTTCCTTTTTCGGATGTGCCTGTTGAGATCAGATGGAGGTGAAATGTTTTCAGCTTGATGGGTTATACTAATAAGGCCGTTATGACTGGCCCAGTTGGGCGAAATTCTTTCGCTAATTCCGTCTGCTCCTTGTCTTTGGATGGTTTCATTCTGCTGACCTTTACATCTTGGAGGGTCTGTGCTTGGTGGTGGTATTCTTATAGTTAGAGGTTTTGGTTTTAGTGGAAGTTTCTCCCGCCTGGGTTCTTGTTCTGAACGTAGTGAATTACCGCTACGACTGCTGGAAGGTAAATGATTATCTTTGACGTTATAAGATTCCAAACGAGGAGAGCGCGATGGATATTCGTTGCGATGTAAGTGCTTTATTTCTTTGGCAAATTTATCTAGGGCTACTCGCCCAACTCTCTGGGCAGTCTGTGGCTTGAGTAAATACCTACAGTTCAAAAATAAAAAATAAAATTTAAACACACACACACAAAGTTAGCTAAATGAAAATCTATCTACAATTTCATCCAAGACTTTGATGTTTTACAGAATATTCGTTGAAGCTACACAAAAGTGTAAAGAAAAACCTACTTTTGATCGTAGTAATTAGTATGCAATTTTAGTTATGGAATAACTAAAACTTAGGTAGTCAATTCTTTAAACATGAAAAATAATAGCAACAACCTTTTATTATTTCTAAACATCAATAATGATACTAAGAGGAAAAAACAACAACATTCAAAACACAAAATCATAGTTTTTTCTTTGCCATTAAGCCATACAATGTGCTATGTGAACTGTATGAGCCGCGAAGATCGAACCTCGAATTTAAGCGCCATAAGCTTACCACTGAACAACAGGTGTCATTTCAGAAAGGCATTTATAGTTAAAAAAACCGCAAAACGTGTTTCTTGTACATTTGTCTTTTATCAATGCTCGTTTATAAAAACCTAGCGCTCATGTTGGCAAATTATCGAACAAAATTGAAATTATAAATATTCATCAACCAAAAATGGCGAGTTTGAAAATTTTATATCGATTTCTATGAACCATCGTGAAGATGATAATATATTGTACTTTGGTCAATGATGTATTTTCTGTTTTTAGCGCCCCCTAGGGCACAGCGGAATGTCTGCGGACTTACAACGCTAGAAACTGGGTTTCGATACCCGTGGTGGGCAGAGCACAGATAGCCCATTGTGTAGTTTTAACTTCAAACAAACTCTGTTTTTAGCAGCTATTGGTGACATGTTAAATGAGTGAAGGGTATGTATATTTGTCATTTAGTTTATTGTGAAACGAACAAACTGACAAAGCAAAACAAAAAAACTGGGCGTAATATGTGTTGGCTGGTTGGTTTAAAGCAAAGCGCATTGGGCTATCTGCTGTGTCCACCGCGGGAAATCGAACCCCGAGTTTTAGTACTGTTAGTTTGTAGACTTAACACTGTCCCACCGGGCGACCATATGTATGAAACGTTACATTTAACTGCGACGTTTTATATAATTTTAAATGCTTCTAGTTTCAAATCCACAACGGATTTAGTAAAAAGACAGTGATAAAAAAAGAACGTTTTTTCCCAAACAAACATAAGCTTTAATCATATAAATTGTCCTAAAAAAGGCATATAACATCCGTATTGGCCTGTTGCGAGCGATTTCGGGGTTCTCGCACTAACCTAAAACATGTTTAATTGACTATAACTGTTGTAATTTCACATTTATTTTATTATGGGATGCCCGGCATGGCCAGGTGGTTAGTGTGCTCGACTCGTAATCTGAGGGTCGCGGGTTCGAATCCCCGTCACACCAAACATACTCGCCCTTTCAACTGTGGGGACGTTATAAGGTCGCGGTCAATCCCAGTCTTCGTTGATAACATTCTCCATTTTTTCTTTGTGTGTGTTAGGGGAGGGAGGTAGAAGGAGTTAACACTGGGAATCTGCTGTAAATGCACCAAATGCATTCCAACTGCCTCGTATCTATTTAAATTCCTCTATCTTGTGCTCTCTAATGGCAGTTAACCAAATTAATTAGAAACTGTTGACGTGAATTAAATCCGATTCGTAATTAAAGTTTTCAAAATATGTGGCTGTAAAAGTTAACACACTGTTCTTGTTACAGAAAGTATGAAGTGAATTAAATGGTTAATTGAACTTGTACTATTTCAAGTTTCAAAAAACAATCTAGGCACAACTTGTGCTTGTCGAATGTTTAGAAACTTCCTAATTTCACCACATATACTGGCTGTGCGTACAATACACCCGCTTTTTCCTACATATCAGAAAATAAAAATAACTCAGATTTAAGAATGATTTGCTAATCGATCTGTAGTTACCAGTGTTATAATAATACAGAAACGTAACGCCGGTTAAGCGTGCAACACTAAAAGTAAATTTTATATGTAGAAAAGTCCATGTATAATTAATCATACTAAAAGCTCATTTTCTAAAGTTAATATTAGCATCAGCCCAAAAAGACGAAAATAAAATGTAACCGTATATCATAAAGTACAAATATATAAACATTTTATTAGGCTTAACGATAATATATTGTGCGTATTGTATAGATTGTTCTTACGAACCAAGAAAATAACAATAAATATCAATGTTGTTAAAAAGTAAAAGCATTTCTTGACATGCCTTTAAATTTTAGCAAAAAAAAGCCTTTGGAAAATAAAGTACACAACTGGCAGAACGCACGGTAATCTGTAGATTAAAAAATAATAATTTTTGGGTGGCTCAGCAGTAAACTTAGGTTTATTAAGCCAAAAATCGAGGTTCGATACTGCGGTGCGCACAGCACAAATAGCCTATGGTGTAGCGTTGTGCTTAAAAGTCTAACTAATATATTTGAAAACCTCAAGCCACGTACAGATGCTCTATTTTATCACTGCTCTGCTCAAAAGTTTTATTAAACTATTTGAAACTCAACAGATGGCGCTCATGAGAAAAATAAGAAACCAAATTACTTGGTAGAAATCACGCAAATGGATTTATCTGGGTAATTAATTCTAAAAAAAAAGACCGAGTTACATGCATATGGTAGGCTTTTACATGCTATTGTACATGTGGTTTTTGGCATATGCTATATTATTACATTAAAAGTTGAAGTATCTCATTATCTTTTGAAATCAACACAGTTTTAGGGAATAATCTATATATGTATAAGCGCGAATGTCTCTCTCTCTCTGTGGGTCTGTTCCTTATGCATGACCACATCTTTAAAGCTACAAACTCTAAACTCGGGGTACAGATAGAACTTTGTACGGGAAGTAACATGGAATATGTGGCCGCGACCTCAGAGGTCGTTTTCAGGCCTCAAATTGAGGCCAAAATGACCAATATAGCAATTTTTGGCAAACAGAACAACCAATTGGTCTCAACTTGATAAGGCAGGATGTTTTTGGTAATGTGTGATCAAGAGGGTTATTATTTACGTTTCCTTTCTGCGTGGGAACCTTTCCAAATCTTTCCGTATATGGTAAATTATGTGTTCAATTTAAAAACTTCGTTGAGCCTTCATTTTGTGCTCTTTCCCTTTTTGGCCAGGTGGTTAGGTCGCTCGACTCGCAATCTGCGTACTGTAGATACTGTCCGTACACGTGCGTTACAAGTAGATCACACAAGTTAACTTATGTTCGTCGTTTCGTGTTTGTTTTTACTAT